AAAATGAATAATAGTTATAAGGTACGTAGGATAAATTTTATAATAAAATGTAACAACGTCGTTTTTATTTTTATATGAATAAACCATCAAAACTCGCATTCATTCTTCCAGTTAATCGCTGTATATGTATATAAAAAAAAAAACAAAAAAACATTAGATTATAATATATACTTAAATGCATGTCTAAATTCAAAAAATATCAATAACTAAAATATTGCTGGAAATACTTATTTAAATAATTATGCAAGTCGACATTTGATAATAATATTTAATCACTTCGCATAAAAAGAAGTGTTATAAATTATCCGATACCACATTTTCAATATTACAATTAAAGATAATTAAAAATTATTTTTATGTAACATATATATGACAACTTGATGCACTAATTAGCGCATTTACACACGCGCGCGCGCGTATATATATGGACAATTTATTTAAAGAAAATTTTATTTTATGCATAGATTTAGGCATGTTAATTATATGTTATAGTATATTATTATTATATAATAATATATAAAAATATACAGCCAATACATTAGAACTTATTTTCAAATCTACATCCTTACAAATGTATAAATATAAATTCTTCGATCATTTTTATACGAGAAAAAATCATTTAATGAACTTCTGTAAATAATTGATTTTGCATAATTGAAAGAAAATATGTAGAACTAATTTACACGATCTAACGTTAATTAAAAAAAAAAAAAAAAAAAAATTCGAAATATGAAATCCATATTTATCATAACTATATTATAGTTATAGATTATGTATAAACATATTATATGTATGCAGGAAAATTTAAATGAAAAAGTACTCGATGACTTTCGTATCGTTCGAACTGTTTTCATAATTTCATTCTATTCATGTCAACTATATAATAAAGTGCTTTAACGTTAAAAAAAATTACAAAAAAAAAAGTACTCTAGTACTTGCAATTCTGTATTAAAAGGAATCTCTGTAACAAAATTGAATTACTCTCTCTCTCTCTCTCGCTCTCTCTCTCTCTCTCCGCAACTCCTCAATGTCATTCGCTTCTAATTAGGTGAAAGATCATTAATTTCAGTTATATCCTCTACAGATAGGCTGGAGGACAAGTTTAATTTCATCCCTAAACTCGCTACTCCCAGTTTCTTCATTGCTACATCGAATGGAATTAGGTGAAATCTATATACATATATAGATGGCGTATCTTATGGTAAAGAACAAAATTTCATTCTTTAGAATTCAATTTCATCTTCACTAATGGCTTCAATTTAAAAAAATTTCCTTTAACTTTAACTTTAAATTTAAAATGAAAATTTTTCATCAATTGTATTACCCTTTTTAGATTCAAAAGTATCGTACATTTTGCACTTTAATACAAATATTACGAATTCTATCATTATATGCCAAAAGAAATTATAAGGTAATTCACATATTTTTATTAATATTTCTACACTATAAAATTTAAGATAAAACAATAAAATTTTACTATTAATTCCAATTTCTATCCCACATGATCATCGTCAATTGTTATAAATAAATGATAAATCGTAGTGTTTTTACTAGAATAGTCTTTTACTAGATATTTTTAGAAAAATCTACGAAAATATTCAGATTCAAACAGATATTTTAAGCGGTAAAAATTTCTAAAACATGTGTAAATTTAAATTATTAAATTTCCATTACAATAATTCGTTTTATTTCGATAAATTTCAATAAGAATGAGTATGGTACATGATAGAAGTTTACGATAGGGCAATTGCTGACGTACGTAAACATTTTTAGCATTTATCGTTTATAAATGATTTTCGTGTGCGTGCGTGCGCGCGCGTGCGTGATTTTGTGTGTGTGTGTGTGTGTGTGTGTGTGTGTGTGTGTGTGAGTGCGCGCGCGTGTTGTATCGGAGGTCAAATATTGAATATTCGAGCACTCGTTGCTCTTTCAATAATTATAAGCTTCGAGGTGTGTGCATAAGAGTCGAGTTTTACACGCCTAAAAGCAGCGAAAGGAAGGATAAGGGATAATAATAATTTACTGGCTAGGGTGATTTCTTCTCCGTGCACAGTTAGTCCAAACTGTAATCTTTGTAGACAATTCTTCACTCGCCAATTTCATTTTATTTTTCTAATTGGATGCCGCTGCTTTCGCACAGTTGTGCAACTACCGCCCGACTAAAATTGGAAACGCAGACTGAGCTTGTCGGTGACTCGCAAATTACGGTTAAGCGGAATGCAGACCAGCTAGCGTGTCTAGATTATGCGCCATTTTCTCATTTCCTTAACTTTAGCCAAAACGACCGTCAATATGAAGGCAAAATCAGCGGTTAAGCCCGTCACACTGGCAGGTGTAAATGAATTCTGCATTGATGACAGGACTCAGGCTAAGAATAACAACCTTCCACTTGTCAACTTATGTTGCGTCTAATTTTCTCTATTATAATATATATGTCTCTGCATTGCAAAAAAAAAAAAAAAAAACAAATCTTAATTTATCTTATTATTTATCTTATTATATAATATCTCTTATTGTTTCAACACATAAACAGTATATAAAACCTATACAGGCCTTTTTATCATATAAATAATCATCGTATAAATGAAATTAAAATTGGAAATTTCTACCATTAATAATATTTAAAACATAATACTGATTAAATAAACCATTTCTTTATCTTACAATTTAATTATTAATTATTAATAGATTTTAATTGTTTTTCAATTGATAATACTTCGAATGTAAATATATTTTTTTAATCTTCAATTACAAATTTCATAATTATTATTCAAGTTAAAAATAGTGTACGAAAAAAAGCAAATAATTATTTTCTATTTATTAAAAGCTAAATATTTTAATTAGCTATACCATCCCGTAGTATTTCATTAGCCTAAATTCATCCTAATTATATGACTCTAATTTTACAATAATTTCTCTGTTGTTGATTAATAATTTTCTATTATTTATTATATAATCAATTTTGTTTTTCTCTCTTTGGAAAAATTTTTCTTTTCTTCTTCATTTGATTGTATGAATGCTGAATAATATTATTATTTGACATATTTTAATAAAAAAAAAACATATTTTCATCTAATGATTTTAGTTGTATTATATAAAATATATTTACCAATTTATTAAAAACATAAGAAGAGATTGGTAGCTTGTCGACTAAAATATATAATAACTAGAATTAGTAGAGAAAATTTAGCATAGATTTTTTGGAAATGAAATTTCGATTGGTATATCTTATTATAAACTTGTTTTTTCTTTTTTGTAAAATACTATTTTAACTTTAAATAAGTTTTATTTAAAAAATCGTCGTTTGTTTATAATAATTTTTTTAAATATATGTGAAATATCTAGTCAAAAGATCACTTATTTATTTTTATAAATGCTGACATAATCCTTTTATCACTTTTTTAATTTATATAGCAACATATTTTACAAAATAAATTAAATAAATAATTTTTCATGTATTACATTATAACTTGTACATAGATTTAAAAAATCTAACAAATTACTATAGAATATGAGAATATTGAATATACCTATTATTATTAGTAGTGTAATTAAATTGAGAATCGAGATGTTTATCAAGAATTTAAATTATTATTATTATTCACTAAACTTTTGAATTATTAAACTAATAAGTTTTTAAAATTTTATCTAATTAAAAAATATGTTTTTCACGACTTTTCAATATCTTATTCATTTTACAATTATTTTATATTTTATAGAATATTTTAACGGTATATTAATTTTTACTATCTGTAATTTTATTCTCTCAAGATTTAATAATTTTAATAAATATTCAATATTGATGGATATTTCTGTTAATTTACTAATATCTCTAAAATTTGCACATGTTTATTTCAGATAGTGAAACTGCTTTAATTTATCTTTAAATTCTCACCACAGCATTAAATTCCTATCTATTTTACTTTAATGACATCATTATCATTTACTTATAATATCTATACTGATAGATAAACATAATAGAACAATAACCAGACCCAAAGAAATAATTTTTGCATTTTACAATAAAGTTATTCAACGTTAAGTGTGGATGCAAAATAGTTACTTGGAGTTAGATAAAGTACTCGAGTTTTAAAAGCAATTATGTTGGTAGAAGAGTGGGGCCACGGTTCACCTGGCACTCTTTAAACTACATAGCACCGAGCAAAGGATAGTTTCATTCTCACAGGTAAAATTTATTTTTAGCTGACACTACAAGCGTACAACATTTTTAACAAATACATTTGCCTGATAAATAGCTAATAAAACGAGTAGCCGCAGTCAGTTCTGTTAACATTAGTATAGTAAAAATACGTGGAATGGAACAATTTTTGCAGTCTTGTTAAAACTATTTTTAAGATAATTTTAATTAAAAATTGATAAAAAAAAAATATTGGTAAGATATTTTATCTTTATTATTAGCATTTATTGATAATATCAAAAACATGTTTGCACATTAATAAATACGTCATGAATCCATTGTCTACGATTAATCTATATAGAAGACACAAATTATGCGAATGCTTTATAGTAAGAAATTTTATGATACATATTTTTTTCCTTAATTATAAAATAATACATTTTTTCAAGAAATATTCTTGTTTATATATTCTTTAAAAGAAAACTCCAATAGTTGCAAAAATTCATCCCTTACAATACAATACTCCAATCAAGTGATTAGAATTATGTTGATGTTTTTATATGCATTTTAAGTTTTCTATTTAATTGTGTGAAATTCCATTGAAAAATATTTGATTCGCTCTATATACATACGTATCTGAATCCACGATTTTCTTTTTTATTTACAATCAAAGTCTTAAAAAAAAAAAAAAAAAAAAAAAAAAAAAAAAAAAACATTTTATCGACTCATTATTATGTGACATTATGTGCGCATTCAAGGTTGAGTGAGACTATCGCTGTATGTAGTGACGAAAATTAATCACACAATACCCTACATATTATCATGTATGAGTAATTCGACATCGATGATAAATCATACTTACTCGGTTTGATTATCCTCGAAGGTAAGGCTACCTTCATTATGGAGGAACTGCTTGCCAGGTTTGGCTGTGCCTTCGATTGTTCGATAAGGGATGGTGACACGCCCGCGAGCACCACTGTAACGAATCACCCGTAACGGAAATTGGCCAATACTCTCAATAAGTTCAATATCGCGCTCTGGGAAGCCGAAGATACCGCTGTGATCGTCGTCGAGAATCATCACCGTTGCCAAACTCGGCGATGCTAGTAGTGCTGGTTGCGAACAGTTTGTGAGCCTGTGAATATTTAATTGTTCATATTATTTAATGCAATTCTTTTATATTTCATTGCACATATATTTTCATTGCAATATGGACATCGAATTTATGCGATTAAATGATTTTAGTATAATATTACTTTCAAATGTATACGATGTAAAATAATAGTTCGATATAATTTCACAAGACTTCGTAAAGACAGAGAGAGAGAGAGAGAGAGAGAGAGAGAGAGAGAGAGAGAGAGAGATATTACGAACTGAAATAATTAATTGACCTATTTTACATTTTTCTTATTCTGACGATTAATTTATAAATTTAAAGCGGAGAATAATTCTTTAAAACTCTTGTCAACATAAATAGTACAACTTTCTGCGTATTTAATGCAATTTTAAAAGATTAAGTTTAAATTACAAAATTGAGAGAAAAATTTTACGGAAATGCTCGAGAAGTTCTATCAAGAGTATTGTTATTTTTTTTTCTTCTATAATTATGATATAATGATGGCTCTTGGAAAAAAAAAATATATATATATATATAAATAACTATTGTATTTTTGTAACATAATTATCCGTCAACTAATATTTATTATTCTTCTTTAATTGAGATACTCCAATTTTAATTTTTATTTGACGAATTTTATAGAAATCTGGTTTTTTTGTTAGCTTGGTAAGTTTTGCATATTCGTAGTATGTAATTAATTATATTTATAATATATAATTAATTAAAACTTAATTAAGTATTACTCACGTACTTGTTAATAAAACAGATTATTAAATAATTAATATTGTTGCGAGAAGATGACAAAAGTTAAGAAAAATAAGTGCTTATTGTCTGGTCGGAAACAGTCATTAATCATAATCAATTTTGCCGCAATTTCACAGCTTCTGATAATATTATTAATCACAGTTAAAATTTATTAAGTTAAAAATCTTTTTATCATACGAATAATTAATAATTAATTATGATGTACTAATACTCTAGCCGTTATTAATTAACAAATAATGTTGTTCACATAATAAGTTAAAAAAAAAGTACATTATTTTAAATCATATTTTTCATATTAATTAAATTCTATTGCTATAATGTGACAATAATGGAATGATGGGATTATCACTTTTTTTTTTTTTTTTTTTTTTTTTTTTTTTTTTTTTTACAAATTAAGTCACTATATTCATGTGTGAATACTTTCTAAAAAGTTTGATAATAATCAGTTCATCAATATGTTAATTAAACAACTGGAAAGTTTAAGTTAAGTATAATTCATTGTTCAGATGCGAAATAGTTCGATTGAAGTATTTAAATGATGTCTTAAGATCATTTCGTACTATTACGATGTAACCGATGTAAAGATTACATTTCTATTCAGTTGCCATCATAATGATTATTACAGTTATTATCATATTCCTTGGCTTCCTTGCGATTGTCTTTCAATACAATATTTTTAATATTCAATATATTCAAATGCGTTGATTGATCATTGAGAAATTAAGCGAAACAAAATTCGAATTAAATCGAATTAAAGTCGAGTGGAAAGTTTGTTTGGAGATCATTATTTCTCAAGCTTTATCTCGAATGCAAATTTAATTATTAAAAACGAAAATTCTGTTTAGGCATTGTACTTTTTAGCCATTCGACTCGATGAGCCAATCTTCTGGAGTGTAATTTTGGCAAAACTTTATCAGATCGAGTAATGAAAAAATTCTTGTAAAATTCTTCTGAACAATTCAATAGATCATTCTCTTGGAGCAAAAATACGCTTCCCGGAAAATGAAGTTGAAATTAAAAAAAAAAAATAAAAAGCTGGAGAGAAAAAAAATGTTTAACCAAATAGCCGATGTAGCTTCTTCTCAATGCTAAATTTACGATTACAGAGTGGTTTTTCGGCGATTATAATACGATTGGCCAAACTGAATTTTGCAATCCAACATTGTTTGGTCGATTTTAATCAACCGACAAATCATCCTTACATTTAATTAAAAGCCCGATAGTCATTAGCAGGCTCCCTTACCTACCTTACGTAAAAGTGCTCGTCCTCTTCGAAGAGCTCGTCATCAATTACAGATAATTTAATAGTTTTCCTCGTCTCCCCAGACTCGAACGTCAGCGTACCTTTAACACTAACATAATCCGAGCCAGCTTCGGCCGTACCATCTTCCGTACAATAATCCACGGTGCAGGACTTGCTGAGATCTCCCCCTGTTCTCGTCACTCCGACTTCGAATGTCCCCACATTCTCCATAACCGTGTAGTGACCTGGCTCGAAGAAAACCCTGGTAGCATTGACATTTTCGATGTCGATACTCTCGGCCTCGGCGCGCTGCAGCTCCGCCTTCACCTCGCTTAAATCACTTTGAGCACGTTCGCTGATTTTTCTGCTCAGATTCCCAGCACCTACCATCTTTCTCGTGGCTTGAACTCGATAGAAAGCACGGCTTTTTGGACCCTTGCCCAGCACCTCCTCGTGGGCCATGACCTCGAGCTGCTCAAGCGACAATTGGGGATACTTTTTCCTTAGGTCTTTCAGCGATTTAATGTAATCCCGCCTAGTCTGCTCGAATTCTCGGGACTCGACCGTATCAGCGTCCACATATTTATCAATCATCCCATTCATTTGATCGTGCTGAGTTTTAATCTCCAACTCCACACCTCCGTCCGAGTCGCCCGCCTCCGTTTCTACGATCACGCCGCGCTTGTTCATTCTGTAGCCTTTGTGCAAGTATTTGTAAATCAGCAATCTTCTGTCCGCCACGTAAGCTGTTAACACGGTCGCGGGAAAGAAAGAGAACGTGAGTAGTCCCTCCCAGACTTCGAGAACACCGGGACTGCTCACGGCCAAAATGATGTATAGCCAGACGTAAGCGAAGATGCTCCACGTCGCGGTCACGAAGAATACGCGTAAATGTTTGATCTTCCGGTTCTCGCCATTCGGAATCACAAAGACACATAATGATATGATGACAAAGAGATTATACGCGGCTGAGCCAACAATCGTGCCTGGTCCAAGCTCACCGGCCTGGAAGTTCTTTGCGTATATTTCGATGATGGACAATAAGATTTCGGGGGCACTGCTACCCAAGGCCATTAGAGTCAAATTGGCAACCGTTTCGTTCCATACTCTTACGATGATGATCTGCGGCTCTTTACCTTGTCTTTTCACCACCAGCTCCTTCTCTTTGGACGTTATGACTTCGATAGCGGCCATAAAGCGATCAGAAATTATAGAAACGCCGATGAAAAGATAGAGCATCACGAGAAAGTAGATGACACCGCGAAATACTATGTCAAAAAGATCAAGATTCTCCATCGGATACCAAATCGGCACCACTAAACCTGGCTCGCAACGTGCTGTATAGTTGCCCGACATTCTGCTTCAACTATTCCGATATTTATCGCACGATGACTTTATGATAATCGCGATTTCTTACACGACAACGATAATCGGCTATCTTTATTCCCCCATTAGCGTCTTTCGCCCATGCGTGTGCGCCCTTACTACTATTATTCTACCACGCTCCTCCTTTCCACCGTCTCTTTGTTGCACGGATTTTTTTTTATAATTCTCCATATAGGCCTCATTTGCTACTTTACTTTCTCAATCTCAAAATAACCAAAATAATTATTGCTTTTATACAACACTCCTTAAATAGCTCCCATTATGCACAGACACTAAACTTTTTTTCCAATCCATCGACTAGCGCACAATTTCATTATCAATCATAGATCGCAAACACTCAACTTTTTTTATCCCATTAATTGAAGAAGAAAACCAACTATATACATACATATGCGTGCGTGAGTGCGTGCATGCAAATGCATGCATATATATCCCGTAAGTGGGCGCGCGCGCGCGTATGTGCGTGCATGTGTGGTGGCGGTGGTGTGTGTGTGTGTGTGTGTGTGTGTGTGTGTGTGTGTGTATCGTTGATAACGGTAGCGTTGACGCGCCCGCGATCACAAAGAAAAACTGAAGAGAAAGTAGATGAAAATGACAGATCGTAAGCAGAGATTAAGAAAGAGAAGAAAAGATTTATCCGCGAATAGTTAGTAGCCTACATCTAGAGTATTCGGATTATCGTAAATGCAGTCCGTAAATGTTTACGATATGCCTCATTACAACTGCTTCCATTGCGATCGCGAATAGCAAGAGCCCGGGTATGAAAATCAGTGAACGCGTGCAATGAACAACCGAAGCCGCGTTCGAACGAACACTAAAGGCGCGACTGCCAGTGTTGGCGCTACGCTGAACCGAACCAGCGTTAACGCGACGACGCGGGAGAGAAGCCCCGCTGCTTTCTCTCTTTCTTCGCCAACCGCTCCATCCACCACCACCAACACCCCCCCCCCCCCCCCCCCCCCCCCCCCCCCCCCCCCCGATCTTTCTCCCTTACTCTCTTGCGCTTTCCCATTTGCGCTTTACGATGTTAGTGAATCTAAAGCATTATTCCTCTCCCCCCACCCCCACCCCCCTGTCTCTCTTCAGTTGGCTCTGCTATATCTTATGGGCGTCTGCGACGCAAGCGTCCCTGCGCGGTGCAGAGTTAAGCAATGCGTGTGCCTGCCCGCGCGTGTGTGCACAAGCGCACGCACGCACGCACCCAAGCCTTTCGTTTGCTTGTTACTTTGTGTACATACGCGCGCGTGCGTTATAATACAAAAAATACCGATAATAACACCGATAATTGAAAATAAATAATTAAACGATTGATATCATAAGTATCTGTGAATATATTATGCTAATTTCATTTACAATTGAGAATCTTATATCATTATATCGAAAGATGTAAAGAGCGACAATGTTAATAAAAGGTATTATTAGAAAATATCAACAAGCACTATTGCACTTCAATAGGCAAAACAAAAACAAAAGCAAAACAAAAACAAATTTTGAAGGTGTAGATGCATTGCGAAAACATGAGGAGAAAGTATAAAAAAAGAAAATCAAGGGTGGAGCTTGAACGCATGCGCGTCCAGGGTTAGTTATATTCAGCCCATAAGAGGATCCACACGGTGGAATCGCCGGCAAATTATCCGCCAATGTACATGGGTTACAGGCTGATAATTTCTATCTAATTTCAAAACAAGCATGAGGTAAAAGAAATAATAAATTAAAACATTTATGATTGACAGTTTGATATCATGAACCTTGAATTACTTTCGTTTAAGAGCTTATTTTGAACATTCACAGGGTTGAAGGTTGTATGCAGTTTTAGTCGTAACGTTTGGAATGCATCCAGACATCGATTCTAAGAGTACGAATACTATTGGAGCCAGTACTATTGGACCTTTTCTCTCTCTCTCTCTCTCTCTCTCTCTCTCTCTCTCTCTCTCTCTTCAACTCTCTCTCTCTGCTTATATCTGTATATATATAATCGTGTGTATAAAATTATATTTAACAAATATAATTTAATTAAGTACTATTTTACCTTTAATATTAAAATTTACTTTTCAAACCATGAATTTTATGAATTTTAATCTTTTTAAATATTCACTATCATTAAAACGAATATTTTTTTCACAACGATTCGAATATTGACTGACTATTTTAACTTTTCATTATGTCTGATTAATATTCAATATCTGATTTTTCAAATCTTACATTAGACAACAAATATTTGCATTTCTTTTACATTATACATAAATGCTATCTTAATTTTCATATATAATTATATTATTTTATATGTTGTATATTATTTTTTACTATATTAAATTGTATATATATATATATATATATATATATATATATATATATCTGTATCTACTACAACTTTTATAAACAATGATATTTATATTTATACAAATATTTTATCACGATTCTCTGTAAAAAATAAATAAAGAATTGATAAATTGAAATACTAAAATTACAAAATCTTCTAAATGATCTTGTATCTTCATTTAATTTTGATGATTGACTCACCAAATATAAAATAATTAGAAGAAATATGAAATATGTATCTCTGTCCGTATTATATTAATTTATATTTTTTAAATTTTTCATGAATATATATTAAGCTTACATTATTATATAGAGTGCTTTAAATTACAATATTCTAATAATTAAAGCTTTATCAATTATACATAATGTTTATTATGTGTTTATTCATCCAAATTTTCAATGAAATATTAACAAAGTTGTCCAAATACTTAAAAATAACGAAAACATATATTATTATTTGCTATGTAAAATTTTAATATGCTACAATAAATAACAAGGGTAATTAGTATTTAATGAATTGCGTAAGCCGCTTTACATGAACATACTTATAATGTGCAACATAAAACTTAGAAAAAAATTTTTAACTTTACTCTGTCTTTTCAAATAAATTTGAATCTTATATTTTCTAAATTTTATTGAAATTAAAATATATTTTTGATATACATATTAAGGAATTGCGAGTGTACACGATAATGATATACGATAATCACAATAAAGTAGCGCTAGATTTTAAACGACGAACGATTACGTATTTGCAAATTATGTTTTGCAGTATTAACATCAAGATGCTATGCACAGTGGTGATGCAACTAAATGAATCCTTATCCCAATGAATTGTCATTATTAATTAAATTATCACTAACTTTACGGATGAACCAATGAACGGATCCGTTGGAAGGAACGTTTCAATTATATATCAGAATTAATTATTCCCTTTTGATTGTACACGATCATATTCATTTTAATAATTAATATCCCCTGATACGCTTTATTCAAGTCGTGCATTTAAAATTGATTTATAAATAGTAATTAAATTATCCGTATTTATCGATTGATAGATATGCAGAAAACGTTAAAAAAAAAAAATATATATATATATATATCGATAATATTATGATAATTTTGCTAAAGATGGTATTAAATAAATGAATATTTAAATGTTTTCTAAATGTTATTACAAATAAATGTATTACATAAACGTATATATATATATATATATATATATATATGATAATTCTATATAATCTTCTATATATATTCCATTATTGGTTGTATTAGAGTTACGTCTTAAGTTGTGAAAAATGAAGAAAATATGAAAACTAAATTATCCTACATAAATGATTAAACAAATAATAGAATTATATTCATTTGTAACATTATTTTAATGAATTTTTATTTTTCAGAATAAGACAATATAACTTATAAGTTAATACGTTTTACTTCCAATTTTCAAAGAAAATCACCACGTTAAAAAATTTGTCAATGTACTAAATACCACACAGATTTTGCACTGACATCTAAGTAATATAATAAATGGCGTTATCTTAACTTTTATTTTACAATCTCAAAGTACAATTTGCTATTATGGCACATATATACTTTATCATACGTCTTCATCGGATAATATTAAATAAAATTCATTATTCCAGTAGGAAAATGAATGAAAAATGTGCAAAAGATTGTTTTATTTATTTAAAATCTATATGAAATTTTTTAAATTAACAACGTCAGTAGATCTTGAATAGAATAATCGAGTAATCGTATTAATAATAAATTAATAAATAAACAAACAAATGAAACTTTTATCTAAATGTCGGTTAAAAAAAAAAAAAAAAGATATATTAAATACAAATTCAAAGATAAAAATATGATTTAACAATACAATGTTATATTAGACATTTCTACAGGTATTTTAATAACTTTTACGTTATTAATGCATCTGAAAAACTTAATTGAAACGTATACGCCTTTCACATCGTATTAAATACCCGGTTTTAAATATTCAACATATACATCATTATTTGCTTTTTCAACTATAAATTACAATAAATAATATAATGCGCGTATAAATTTAAATGATTTAATATAAAATCAGATGTTCTATGTAATTACGGTATTTTCTCGCATTCGAATACTTCCAGATACATATCACTTACATTATCAATCACTTACATAGATTGAATATATTAATAATATTTAGTATCTTTATCAGTCGATAGAACAATTTCATATTATAGAAATTTCCATATAAAAAGCTGAATGAATATTGGTTAATTATTTCTGCTTTAAGATGAAATTATATTACTATATAGAAATATAATTTTTTTTTACCTTGATTTTGTTGTTAATAGCGTCGGTTAAAAAATTTAATTAAATTTTATAAAAACTTTATGTTTAAAATTTTTTAAATTCCTTAATAATAATGTATCCTTTCATGCTATTGTTTCAATATAATACATATTATTCATAAATTATTACGTAATTTTCTTAAATTTAATGATTTTCTGGTATACGATTAAGTGATTATTCGAAGAATGTGCATCACTAATGTAATTAAATAAATATTGATTTAATAAGAAGCTTTTTTAGTTAACCGTGTGCACATTATGTTAAAAATAATGCAATTTTTATACAGATAATGAGCAATCATTATGTTTATATGTATATATATCGAAAGCATATAGTCTATATTATATTTTACTGCATTATAAAATTTTTATTATTATAAACTCGGTATGTCAACTAATCACTTAATGTAATTAGGCGTTTTATACATCCGAATTATTAATCAAAAAAGCAATATCATTAACATAATATTTAAAAGTCGAAAATATTTTTCATTGAAAAAATTAATTTTATCTGTATATATTAATTTGGATTATTTTACCACTAACGGCTTTAAATATATATATATATATATATGAATTTTTAATTATTATGTTAAACAAAAATTATTTTTATTT